GATTTGTGATCTCCAAAGCTTTGCCCAAAAGACACTAAAGCAACTAAAAGAGTCTATGGATTTTTGTTTTTAAAGATCATAAAGGTTGAAGAGAGTGTTTTGGGGGAGGGGTTGTTTTATACTTTATTTTCTGAGTATTTATGTGCATGTGTGCCATGGTGCACATGTGGGTCATAGGATAACTTGTAGAAGTAGATTCTCTCCTTCCACCATCTCCCTGAACCAAAAACAGAAGTACTCATTTATTGCATGTATTATGTGTATGTAGGTAAGTGCAGAAATTCATGAGTCACATGCCAGAGGACAACCTCGGCACAATTCCTTGGAAGCTTTCCATCTTGGTTTTGGAAACAAGGTTTCTTTCTCACTTAGTACTTAACAACTATGGCAAGATGGTGGACCCTAATCACCATACCCATCAACTACTTGAATTCAGGTCCTCATGCTTGCATGGAAAGCTCTTTACTAAGCTGAATCTCTAGAAACATGCCACCAGCCCTTTTTTGGTTTTTGAGACAGGGTCTCTGAATCCCAGGTTGGCTTGAGCATCCTATGCAGCCAGAGGGATTACTTTGAATTCCTGATTCCCTGGCTTCTGCCTCCCAAGAACTGGGACAGTACCACTAAACTCAGACTCTAAGTAAGGGTTTAAAATAAAGATAAAGCTCTGAGGAGCTCATTCATCATCAGATAGGTAGGAATTCATAAGCTTTCTAACTTCTAAGTCTTCGGGCAAGTCTCTACAAACAAAAAGAACAAAAATCCCTCTGCTGCATAAGCATTTCAGCACTTAGTAGTTCCAACCATCAGTAACAGTTTATAACTGTGACCAAACATATTATAGACAAGAACAAGAATTCTGCCACCTGGATACAGTGCCACACATCCATAATCCAAGCATTCAGGAGGGTCAGGTAAGATGATCAAGAGTCCAAAGGCTAGCTCGGGCTGTTCTTGGGCTATATGACCATACTCTGTCTCAGAAAAAGAAAGAAAAAAAGGGGGGATCCTAATAGTAAGTAGTCAGTGTTATATTTGTAAAAAATGATAACAGGGCCAGCTCAGCAGTTATAGAGGCACTTATTTGGTAAGCCTGATGACCTGAGTTTGATTCCTGGAACCCACATTAAAAAAAAAAAAAAAAAAAGACTGGACCCCAGTGACTTGCAAATGTGTGTCATGGCATGCATGTTTCCTAAACAATAATGTATGCCCACCACACACACTTAAAAAAACAAAATAAAAAACAAAAAGTAGCAGCCCAATGTTTCTAGCCAGCTCTGAAAGACTTGCTTAAGACTAAGCCTACACAAAACAAAGATTTAAAAAAGTGAAGGTGACTGTAGTTCACACATAGCCCCTACTCTCTTTATCCCTCTCCCCACCAGACACAACCCCCAAAGTGATGATGTATGCTATTATTTTGACACACTTCTAAATCTTCAAATGTTTGCCTTAGAAGTTTTAGGCAAGCCCACAGAAGTCTACATAAAATCAAAGATACAAAAATATGGAGAGCTGAATGCTAAAGGTTGGATTCCAAGTGCTAAAGGCTGAGAAAAAAGGATGAGTGCTGATGAAAGGGAAGTATCATTCTGGTGAAGGACATCAAGGGTGAGTGGGTTTCAAAGGACTGCTGTTTCAGGAAAATGCAAAAAAAAAAAAAAAATCCCCAAGAGCTGGGCAGTGGTGGTACTGGGCAGTGGTGGTACACACCTTTAATCCCAGCACTTGGGAGGCAGAGCAAGTGGATCTTAGTGAGTTCAAGGCCAGCCTGATCTACAAATCAAGTTCCAGGACAGCCATGACTGTTACACAGAGAACCCTGTCTCATAAAAAAAGAAGGGAAGAAAGAAGAAATCTCCAAGAAGCCAAACATGCCCAAGGAGAAAGAGTTCCAAAGCTATAGGAACTTTCATAAAAATCTACAAAGCACAACAAAGAAAGTAACTGACCATCTAAGAAAGCCCAAAGGGAAATAGACTAAAATAGAATCGACTGTGTGTGTGCATACATGCCCTACTTGTCAAGCAGAGGGAAGGAATACATCATACACACCATGGGAGACTTTAGGCTTTCTGACTTCACCTCCTCTTTACCTCTATAGTACTGGGGTCACAGGCCCATTTGCAGCCAGGCTTTCACATGAGTTCTGGGAATCCAAACTCAAGTATTCATGCTTACACAGCAAGTAATCTTACCCACTAAGCCATCTTTTAGCTCAACAGTTACTTCCAGCAATATCTATACCCTTCATTTAAAAAAAATAAAAGGGGGGAGGAAAACTGGGCTAGTGAGATGGCTCAGTGAATAAAGGCTCTTATCACCAGACTTCCTGGTGGCCCTATTATCATCCCTAGGAACCAAGAGAACTCAAAGCCAGCAGAATGGGGCTAAAAAGATGGCTCAGAGAAGACCCAAGTGTAGAACCCATATCTAACTCCAACTCTAGGGGATCTAATACCTTCTTCAGGGACACCTGGGCACGAACACGCACGTATACACGCACCAACATTTTAACATGAGCCACTTACATAAAAATAACCACCAAGAGTGTCTATAAGGATAATCACCAAAATAGCCTCTTAAATAATTCTGAATAGCTTTTATATTTCCGGGCTCATTTTAGTTTTGTCACTGAATATACTTCCCCCTCACAACACTTCTTCTGAAACAGGGTCTCAACGTGTAGCCCACGCTGGTCTCAAACTCACAGGCCTACCTTGGCCTCCCAAATACGAACACAGACAGCAAATACCCACCATACACTGACTTTTTTCTTTCTATCTGTGACAAGTATGAAACAACTCAACTTTTTATAGCAAGAGCAAGCACAACTGCATGTGTCCATATCTCAGTAAAACTGTATTTACAACAGGCAGCACTTGACCTAAAGGCTGTAAAGTCTGTCAACCCTTGAAATAAAGGAAATGAAAGTACTTTTTGAAAACAAAACACAACTTGTACTGAGTGTACAACATAAACTGGTACTACTCATAAGGGAAAAAAGTCTACTCGTTTTTAAGTTTACACAGTGAGCACAAGCATGGAAAAACACAAACTCTGTAAGCTCTGGAAATCTTACTCTCATCCACAGAAGATAAAATCTGCCACTAAGTAGCCCAAAGCCTGAAATATAAACTGGTGAGTAGCCAGTTAAAGGTAGACACTGGGAACATATCTTCCATATTTAATTTGAACTTCTCAAAAATCATGATCTACCACCAATTTGCTGAAGCCTATGTGTGGAAGTCCCTGCTGCTAAAATAATCTTAGTTTATGGTTCATTCACAATCAGCACTGTTATATTCTACAAGCAGTACAGAAGTGAGCTGTGACAAGACAAGTCCTCTGGTAAAAACACTTTAAACTTTAGAACTGACAACAAACTGTAATTCTCCCCTTTAAATATTAAGGCTTTGAGCTTTATTTTTTGAGTAAAGGTGATACACACCTTTAATCCAACCACTTGGGAGACAGAAGCAGGTGGATCTCTGAGTTCAAGGCCAGCTGGTCTACATAGTGAGTTCCAGTGAAAGGATGTTTGGGGGAAAAAAAAAAAAGCCCTGAGTAGAGCATTTGTCCATAATACTAGGACTCTGGAGTCAGAGTCAGGATTAACATTTAAGGTTTGTCTGGGCTACAAAGATATAGCTTGCCTCAAAAACAAAAAACAAACAAACAAAACCAACCACACACAACAAAAAGCTAAGTTAAAGGAAGTTCTTTTTAACTTTTTCATTGGCCTAACGAAGTGAATGATTCATTTCAGCACTCAGAAGGCTGAAACAGGATTCTTGTTAGTTTGAGACAACTGTTTGGGCTACAGAGTGAGACCTTACCCCCCCACCACCACACACACACACACACAAATTTAACTGGGAAAAGTTTTATGATCAAATAATTTTCAGTATCATAAAAGACTTGGCAGTACTTTTAACTTGTTTCTTGGGGAGTAGTGTAGGCAGTCTGCTTTAGGAAAATCGGAGTCAAGATAGTAACACAAGAATGAAAGATGTCGAGATGGCTAAGCGAGTAAAGGACTTTGCCATACAAAATTTTAAGGCCTTCCCAGAATCCACATAAGTATAGACGAGAACCAACTCTTCAAAGTTGCCCTCTGACCTCTACTAGTGTACCGTGGACACATGCGCCCCCCCCCACGCACATATGTGCACATACTATAATAAACTGATGGTTTTTAATTTTTAAGCTATTTTAAACGAGACATCTAGAGCAAAAAATAAAACTAAAAGAAAAAAATCATTCTACTAGAATATTAAAACCTCCAGTGAAGCACACTGTACCTATCAGATCTCAGTTGGACATGTAATCTTTCCACCAAAAAGTCACTGCTCAACCCCGTGAAAGTTTTAAAACTCCAAAAGCAGACGTTTAAATCAAGGCCAAGGAAGCCAGAAGAAGAAATGCGTCAACTTTGTAATACAATGCCCTCTCAGACCCTTCAAAACTTATTTTATAACCGTTACCAGCAATTCTCTAACAAGCTAACACTGGCAGCTTAAAAACCCAAAGGGGCTGGGAACTGGGCCCAACAACTATCCCGCAGGAGCTGCCTGAAGCGCCACCGAAAAGGTGAGGGCAACCTTCCCATCCCAGTGGCTGGAAAAGTAGCGCTGAGCACAGCCCATCCGAAGCAAGCCTGGCCAGAGTGGCAGAAGACACCAACTAGACTTGGGGCGGGAGGATTCTCGGGGCGGGCCGTCACGGGGACACCGGCCCGGAAGGCGAAGAGAGTCGGAGCCAGGGGCTTCGGACCCTCCGGCCGGCGGTGGCCAAAGGACAGCGGGCGCCCGCGCAGCTGCACGGAGCGGAGCGGGGCCCCAGCCCCCTCCCCACCCCTCCCCACCCCCGCCCCGGCCGCCGCTCGGGCCCCCGCAGCAGGCGCGCGGCCGCCGGTCAGAGTTCCGGCCAAGCTCGGAGCCGGCCAGGCGCGCGCTCCCGGCCCGCGCCGGGGACACCTGTCCCTCAGCCCTCACCTCCCTCCGACCCCGGCAATCTGCTGAGCCCGGGAAGCCGCTCGCGCCACAGCCCCTCACCCGAGTTGGCCGCCGCCTAGTCGCGCGGCTCGGGCGCCTCGGGAAGCAGCGGCTCGGGGAGGGGAGAGGGGGCGAGGAGGGAGGGGGCCGCTCGCCGGAGCCGCCGCCACCGCTGCCGCCACCGCGGTACCGCGTCGGGACTGTGCTCGCGCCGCCGCGACCGCCGCCGCCGCCGCGTCTCCCCGCCCCCGCGCCCGCGCGTCGCCGTGACGCGCATCGCACGAGGCGGGTCGAGCCAGTAAGACCACACCCCGTGCGCAGCCGTGCTGGTTCAAACCGGAAGTCTCCCCTCCGGTGGCTTTAGAACCACGGTGCATCTTGGGAGTTGTAGTTCGGCCGGGAACACAATGTAAACAGTGCAGGCAGAATGCCCCCAGCCGAACTCACCCTGCTTCCTCGACGTTTCCCGAAGAGATCAGAAGAGGAGGGGGCCGCCGCGGCCGGGGATGCTTCCCTCGATGTCCGTGGGTGCGAGCCAGAATTTAAAGATTCGGCCGGAGCGTGCGTTTGTGTCAGCGGCCAACATAATGCTAGGCGTCGTCTTGTGAAGGTTTCGGAATTCCGAAAGCGTTAGTCAACACTTCCTCAAACAGTAGGGCTTGTTTTTATTACTATATTAACGTATGATGAAAATGCCCTACTACTTCTAGAAGATATGTACGAACCCTTAAAATGTGTAATTCAAAATTATTTTATATGGGTTTAAAGTAATGGTCGGTTCCAAACGACTTAAGCTTTGTGTCTGTTTACACAGGAGTGATTAACGAGGAGTGAGATATCCTATTGAAATCTGCCTCATTAAGAACCAGAACAAGGAAATGTAGGAGCTGGTTTGCAAAGAAAAATGGTTTTTTCGTGTTCGGTTGTAAGAAGAATTTATCTTTCACACTCTTTAGGTCAAAACTTAATAACTATTAAAATAAACTCAGAAGCTTTAGTTTAGACTTTAGAGGAAGCCTGTGCCGGCAGCCTATTGTCCTTGCCATTGGACCACAATAGGTCTCATATCCAAGAAGCTCGTCTGATGATGGGGGATGGTGAAAAACAGACATGGAAAACTCGTCAGCCAGGAAAGGCACTAGAGAGGTTGAAGCAGGAGGGTCTTCCATGTTTCAGGTCAGCCTGATCTACATAGCAAGTTCCAGGCCAGACCCAGTCTCAACAACAACAAAAAGATATAAAGGTTTGGAAACCAAAGTCAAGAAAGACAATTGTACCTTCCCACAGCACATCAGAAACCGAATGCGGGCATTTTAGAACTACACATTTGTCCCATATCTCTAGATATAGCTCAATGATAGATCACTTGCCTTAGCTCTCTGAAAGCCTGGATTCCATCACCAACTTAAGAAGGGGGGTGGGGGGGGGAAGGTCCACAATGCCAGCTTACATGGGGCAAAGTTGAGAAGATTTTTCAGGCTTAATATAAAATATCCCCTAAGGACAGCAGACTTACGTCTTCCAAGATCTCACGTCTTGCCAGGTGTGGAGGCTCACACCTTAACTCCTCGCACTTGGGAAACTGATATGGGATGACTGCAGTGAATTCAAGGCCAACATGGGCCACAGGATGAGTTCCAAGTCAGCCAGGGCTAGAATGAGATCTTGCCTCAACAAAAGGAAACAAAACCCCTATCAAACCTTCCCTGCAGCTCTTTCCTTCTTAAAAGACTCTACTTTGACCAAAGAACTTTCCTCTAGGACCAGTACACCTTGTGCTGAAGCAGATTTTTAAGGGACCATCACCATTTCCCCTCTTACCTCTCACTTGGTCTCTGTTGAAGTGATCTCATTGTCAATCACTACATGCAATTTCTGATGCTTCTATAATGATGAAACAAACCACCTTATTTCCTCAAAATGCTCACACCTTCCCAGCTAATAAAGATCTTTGCTACTACTCTCCCTGGCCTGGAGGGACATTCCTGAGTTCATTACCACACTGCCTTCACCCTTATCCCTACCTTAATGGCACCATCAGATATTTCAAAGCAGATTTTTTTTTCTAGCTCTCTTTCCCTGACTGTGACTTAGCTATTGATTTTTATGAGTTATCTCCTGATTATCTGTTCACACATCACAGAGAACTCAACAACATTCAGTATCTTCCAGTATCAGCTATGAATCTTCAGAATCTCTCTTCTTGTGTTCATTTGCTCATTTGTTTGTTTTTGAAGCACTGGAGATTGAATTTAGGGCAGTGTGAATGTTTAGGCAAGCCTCCTACTACTTAGGTACACCCCTAATCCTTCTTGCCAGTTTTTTTTTTTTTTTTTAATGGGTTCAGATGCCATAACCGGGGGACAACTCTGTTCTCTCTTTGCATCATGTGGGTCTGGGGGATGAACTCATTTCATCAGGCTTGGAGGTAAGCCACTGACTCAGCTCACATGCCCAGTCTCTCCATTCTTTAGGTGTTACATTTTTCCATAGTGGGTGAGCCCTGCATCTCCTACAGCAACAAAAGATACTTCCTTCTACCCTACCCCACACCAGTCACCAGTCAGCCAGTTTGGTATACTCACCTCTGTAATTTGTTAACAAGGAGGACAAAACACTGGTTGAGTAGCATTCATACTCCAGCTATAGCTTCAGTGACTTGTTGCTGGCATAATGACACTGAACTTGCTCCTAGGACAGACTTAGTCACTGCTGTGATAGTCAAGTCAATAGCCAATGAAAATGGAAGAAGTATCTAAAATTCTAAAGTCATAACCAAATGGTAGAACAGCTCTTAATTCAAAATAAAACAAAAATTCTAGATACCATTGTGAATTTTAACTTCAGTCTGAAATTGGTTTCAATGCTTCTATTGGGAAAAAAAAGTTCTTTTCTGCTCAGAACAACTGTTTTTTTCTCAAAGTTTTAAGATTGATTTTCATTTTTTTTGTAGATGTTGTGCCTACACATATTTCTGTATACCATGTTTGAACAGTGCCTACAGACAGTGAGTGCATTGGCTCCCTCCTGTTTGTGCTGAGGCTTGAACCCAGGTCCTCTTGACCACTGAGCCCTCTCTCCAGTCCCATAATTGCTATAATGAATAGAAAAAAATTATTCTGCCATTGGAAACCAAAATTAGTATATAATTTTGAGAAACCTGTATTTGTGGCTTAAAATGTACAAGCAGGGCATTGAAGTACATGTCTGTAAGTCCAGGACTGGGAAGGCTAAGGCCTAAGCTGTATAAGGAGACCATGTCTCAAAAAACCAAAAATAGATAATGCCATGACTATGCTATGTCAGAAACATAGACAAACATAATTGTGTCTTTCCACATGTCAGAATTCATTGAGTGGAAATCAGTTCACAAGGTATGGAGGTTTCAATGGCATCCGTTTGCCCAGTGTTCCCACTTCCCATGATATCTGAGGTTAAAGCAAACAGATTTAACAATCAGATTGTATATTATATGCCACACAGTAGGTGTGTTTGAATACAGAATGGCTGTAAAGGGTTAAGAGGTCACGGCAGAGTACAAAAGGTTTAAGAAGCAGGGAAGCTAAGAGAGGTGTGTGTGTGTGTGTGTGTGTGTGTGTGTGTGTGTGATCTAGACAGTATAAACGGTGAGCCATAAAAAAATAAACCTAGCCATAATTGGAAAACATAGGAATAAAAAAGATATACCTAAGGACCACAAGATGGCTCATAAGTAACGATCCACTGGGCCTCATGACCCAGGTTCAATCCTAGAATCCACACTGCAGAAGGAAAGTACTGACTCCCAAAAGTTGTTCTCTTCACACAAGCACTGCAATGACCACATGAGCACAAAATAATAAGTACATACAAAGATAATCTTAAGGGGCAAGAAATACCACATCAGTCCCTGTGACCATCTCATACATAGACAAAATTATCAAGTCTAGCCAGTTAGCTAGGACGCCGTGTGTTAACTGATTTGAAAATGTCTTTAGAAAATCTGTATTTAGATTAATTTTATTATGTCTTGGGACTGTGGAGATGGTTCAATCATTAAACACTTGGCTTGCAAACATGAGGACCTAAATTCTAATTCCAAGCACATATAAAAAGCCTTTGAAGTGCACACATGTAATCTCAACACAATAGGATCCCTCATTGAGTGCTGAGAATCAAACTCAGGTCCTCTAGAAGAACAGTGAGTGCTCTTTACTGCTGAGCCATCTCTCCAGTCCCACAATTGCTATATTTAATATAAAAGTTTATTCTGCCATAGGAAACCAGAATTAGTCCCTGGGACTTGCTGGCTGGCCAGTTCAACCAAACCAGTGAGTTTCAAGTTCAGGGAGAGACCTTGCCTCAAAAATAAGAAAGCTGTTGAAGATACTCATTGTTGGCCTCTGTCTACAAATACCAGATCCCACCCTATATATAAACACACTATACAAACACACACACACACACACACACACACACACACACTGTACTCTGTGATGCTTACAACTACACTGCTACCAGTCAAAAATCTATACTGTTTAAAACACGTTAATCTTGAATTTGAAAGTTTATAAGCAGTTTGTCTTCAAACATTTGTAGTATGTCATAACACACTAAATTCCCATTTGTGCCAAGTTGCCCCAATGTTGAAAACCAAGAACTAAGATCAGTATAAACACTCTCATAATTACATAAATAACATTAGCAGCTCCTCTAACATAGGTAGTTAGTGTAGCCCTGGGGAAGGCTCGTAAGACAGAACATTATTGCTGACAATGCTGCTAACTGACTCATTGCTTAAGTGTGGCCTGCACAGTCTCGTCAAACAGCAAAGGTGTCTATGAATACATGCAGCTTCTGTTGTTGTTATTGCTCAACCCAGGGCCTCATGTGTACTGGGTAAGCACTGCACCACTGAGCTCATGCCCAGCCGAAACACATGCTTTAAACACACAAAAGGGACACAGACAACTTTATGAACACACATGCCAGTGGGAAGGGGTGGGAAATAGGTGTGAGAACTAAGGAGAGGTAAAGAGTGTCTGTAATTTCCAGTTCTTCTTATGAAAGAGACCAAGTAAATGACAAACTGCTTAACATTTAGAAATGCTTGGTGGTCTGTACATGGCAATGTACTAGAAATACCACCAAACTTTTGCAGTTTATAAAATCAACTTTTGTTTTGTTTTAAAGACAGACCTCTCTGGCTATCCTGGCACTAATTCACAGAGACCCACCT